TTTTTAGTTGCAATTGTAAAAAGAATCATTGTTCACCATCTTTTATAATACTGAGAATTTACATTATGGACTGGGGATATATTTATAAAACTTTTATTCTAATGTGGTTTATATCTTTTACTAAAATTGCTTTTTAAACAGGATCTCAGACATTTCCTATTAAGTTTATTGCTGTGTAGTTTTCTTTTTTAGTTGCAATTGTAAAAAGAATCATTGTTCTCTATATTGTCTTAATGGTCATTGAAGACACTTAGGAAAAATACCAATTTTTCCGTGCTTTCTTTCTACTTTCTAAATTTTATTATTAGTTATGATGGTTATGCAGTTGATTCTTTCGGGTTTTCAGGGAGACGATATTATCAACTGAAAATAACATGCATTACAGAAATGCTGGGAATGAGTATCTTGTTCTGACTTTAATAGCTCTAGTGTTTCACATTAAACATGTAGTTGGCATTGCTTTCCAGAGAGATAATCAAATTTGCCTGTGCATTAGACACAGAAAAGCCGTGAGGTTGCCTTTGATGAACTATTTTTTTCACTGTTCCTTACCATTGCCTTCTTCAACAGACATGCCTTCTGACTTTTACTTCCTTACACGTGAAATATGTGTTTCACATATTCCTCTGTTCTACTAAGAGAGCTAAAATGTTTTAGCCTTTAAACCTTTAAGTTTCACTGAGAATTTTCCAATAAACTGTCAAACTTCAAGTCACTCATCTATCTTTTTTGTCTCATTTCGTATGTGCTTTCGTCTGCTGCATGGAGATTTTATTTTAGATTCATATTAATCTTCTGCTGCTGTCTGCAATTTGATCTTAAGCAAAGTATTAAAAGAAACAGGGAACATTTTAAAAGATGCACAATTCTAGTATATACTGAACAGCACGCATTATACCTACTTATGAGACATTCTCATGAAATGAATTCATAATTGATATTCTCTGATGGGTCCTCAGATATCAGATTCTTCTGAAATGCAAGGCACATTGGCATCATGAACATCTAATGACATGGAGTCAAACATGATGGTAGTCCTATTTCTAAGATAATTTTGAAGAAAATAATTTAGCTCAGTGGATTTTAGCCTGAGATAGTTTATCAATGAACAGATACAGAAACAAGCTAAAAATAAACTATTCTCAAGTTTAAGGCTTCTCTCACTGTCTCTCTCTCCTTGCTTTCATTCTGTTACTGCTTTCACTTTGCTCCACTCTTCTTGCAAGTTCATTTTTCTTCCAAAGGAATCATAAGTCCAAATTGTAAATAACTTTAAGTCAACACTCTGAAAAAAGTTGACTTTTTATATTGCTGACAACTTTAAGTTAATACACTGATATAAGATACACATTCTCAAATTTAAAAAATAATGTAGTTTTTGAGAATTAGAATGAATAAAATGTGGCCTAAAAGCTATGCTTGGAGCAACCAATGACTTGTGATCCTTTTTAGACATTTCTAACTTCTATTTTGAGATCCTATTTTTCAGTGATTCTGTTATATTAGTTTAGTGCAGACACTGAAACTCAGAAAACTTTTACTAAAATAACTGCCTGGTCATGATTAAGATTAAATCAAAATAGAACAAATAGAGGGATTGGCTAAAAGAAAAGAGAAACTTACTTCAACTCAGCATAACATTTTAGATGGTATATTTTTACATTATTATAAAACTTAAAATTTATGTTAAAATATACATTGTCACACTCATGACTGAAAATAGAGGGATTGAGGAAGCATGCAGAATGGGAGAAAAGTAGGGAAACATCTTTAGTCTAATAAAGAAAATCTGCCTGAGTAATCCGGCCTTTCTTGGGCAGAACTGTGCTTTGGGCAATGTTTGTTTTTATCCGTCCCCGTGGCTTCCTTCTGCCCTCAGCACCTGCTATCCTCATCTGACCTCTTGGATTTCCAAGGTCCCTACTTTGATAGATCAGAACTCGATATTGTTCACATTTGCCCCATCTCTTACCATTAAAATTTGGCCACCTATACTTATTTCTTAGGGTTCTGTTTTTTGATTAGTTGAAAACAGATGGTGTCTGAGTCAGGACATAGCTCACTGAAAAAGATTTAGCATAGGCTATGGTAAGTAGAATGGTAAGGGAAATCTTACAGAATTGTGACAGAGTTAGGCCTAATGGCTTCTAGTTTTTGCTTCTCTCTACTGTTTTCTCTGTTCTCTGCTTCCTTTCTCAGCCTCTGTCAACCCTTCATAAAGGCATCCAATTGTCTTCCTTTGTCTTTATCCTTGCCTCTCCCATTGTTAGTTGGCTTCATCACTGTTCAATTTTTCAGGAAAACACCTTAATTAGCCCCACTCATTTTTTTTTTTTTTTTTTTTTTTTTAATGATAGGCCACTGGTTGCCAGCTGACATACATTCCCTCCTTGAAGAGCCCACCCCCCTCTCTGCAAAATGTGGCTGACAGGAACCCAGGGGATCCGGGACTCTTGGCAGGGCAAGATTTCCTTTGAAGAGGCTGTGGGCAAGAAGGCAATGCTTGTATCTGAAACAGATGTTTCGGGACATTCTGGAGTCTTGAAGCTCTTCAGACTCCGGGGCTGCCCTGCTGAGTGACTGGTGGGGTTTGGCAGCACATTTTGCTTCCTTTAGCTAATCCAGTGGGTTTGGGAGACACAGCGGGAGTAAGTAAAAAACAGAATGCTTTCCTCAGCATTGGTGGCATGTTTATAAGTTTCACTTGCCAATACTCCCCCAAACCCCAACTCTCATCTGAAATGGTGATTACATTCTGACGAGATTCCAAGACATCTTGACTTCCTTCGCTGGTGCGGGTGAACATCGACCAGCACACATGCCTCTCAGTGTGTTTTATTGATTACATAACTTATCTAAAAAGATAGGTCAGCTCAGGTGAGGTCTCTCTCACACAATTTTCTCTCAGTATTGGTGGCTGATAGACCTACTCACATGTGTGTTGAAGTGAGTGCTTTGGTAAGAAAGAAATCCCATTGTCTGCTTAAGGAACTCTGTAAGAATAAACAGGGATAAATGCAAGGAGGTCAGTTGTCCTTCCCCAGGTGCGGAGCCTTAATCTGAAAAGCCCCAAGCAGCTGGTTACACAGGATTACACAGACCTAGTAGCTTTTGCCCTCTGCCTCTCTCTTGAGCGCGTAATAAACGCACACACATACACCCCTCTTTTCTGTTTTCCGTTGTTAAACTTTATTTTCTAGTGGGCATCTGGCTTTATATGTGAATTTTCGGCACGTAGAGTCAGCCTGTCCTCCCTTTCTGAATTGTAATATCATTCAAACAGGCGTCAACGTCTTCATAAGTTTTAGGATGTTTGTTTCTTTTGGACGAACACACACTCACTAGCTCAGGCTCGCTGTCTCCTGCGCGCGCTCTCTCTTTCTGCCCCCTATTTCGCGCAAACATACACCGAGCCTGTCGCAACATGTACAAATAGGCGTCTCCGAGGGCTCCTGAGTTCAATGTCACGCTGGGCAGAAGTGGAGCAGGAGTGGAGGGAGAGCGTGCGCGGGGTGCGGGCGGGGAGAGACCCTTCCCGGCCAGCAGAGGGCAGCCGAGGGGAGGCGCTGGCGCGCGAGGGCTGAGCGGAGCCTCGCCTCGCCTCGCTGGGGCAGCCTCAGCCTCAGCACCAGCCGCGCCGGAGCCGGGAGCGCAGCCACTGAGGGCAGCGGCGGCGGCGGGAGCGAGGCGCGCAGCGAGCAGCGGCGCGGGCGGGAAGAAGCGGGCACCGCCGCCGCCGCCGCCTCGACGGACAGCCGGGTTAGCCGGCAGCCGGCTCGGGCCCCTGCGCGCTTGACTTAGTGTCTCCGGCGCCGGGCGGCCGGCGAGTCTGGAGCCCGCGCCGTCGCCGGCCGCGTCCTCCGGGCATGGAAGGAGGCGGCAAGCCCAACTCTTCGTCCAACAGCCGGGACGATGGCAACAGCGTCTTCCCAGCCAAGGCGTCCGCGACGGGCGCGGGGCCGGCCGGGGCCGATACGCGCCTGGGTACCCCGCCGGGGGGCGGCGGGGCCGGCGCGAAGGAGCACGGCAACTCCGTGTGCTTCAAGGTGGACGGCGGCGGCGGCGGCGGCGAGGAGCCGGCGGGGGGCTTCGAGGACGCCGAGGGGTCCCGGCGGCCGTACGGCTTCATGCAAAGGCAGTTCACCTCCATGCTGCAGCCCGGGGTCAACAAATTCTCCCTCCGTATGTTTGGGAGCCAGAAGGCGGTGGAGAAGGAGCAGGAAAGGGTTAAAACTGCAGGCTTCTGGATTATTCACCCGTACAGCGATTTCAGGTGAGCTCTCCCTGTCGCCGCCCCACCCTCCTTTCTGGCGCGCCCTCAAACTCGCTTCCTTGGTCTTGGGAGTGGGGCGCCCGGGGACTCGGCGGGCGGGCGGGGGTGGCGCTGCCGGCAGCCTCTGCTCGGGCTGGCCGGGCTCCGCTCTTCTCCAGCCGGCTCCCCGAGGAGGGGCTTGAGTGATAAGTTGCCGTTGCCCGGGACCCAGGGCGGGTTCTCCTTTGCCTTCTGAACTTTGGGGACAGACCGGGGAAGGATGGAGACCACGATGACCCTGGATGGGAGGATGCTAAGTTGTACCAGGAAACTTTTACTTCAGAGATGAGGTTGTAAGGAAGCGGGCAGACATCCTTCCTCGCGCTGCTCCCTCAAGACGCGGATCCCTCCCAAAGGGGAAAAAAGGGGCTTCTGGGGTTCAGGAGAAGGTGGTGTTACCGGAGACAGGGACTCACAAGTCTTAGCTATTCCAGACCACCTTACCCCTGGGGAGAGTTAATCTGTTTTTCTTCTGCTTATAGGCACTGGGTGTCCTCACTGTATTTCTCCCAGATAGTGGCAGGCAGGCTGAGGAAGGGTAATTTGCGCTTGGACATTCGCTAACTTGAGGTTTCGGTGGAGCCTGGCGCTGCCACGCTGGGCAGGAGCCTGACAGGAAGCCTCTAGTTCCTGAAACAGAGACAGGGGCGTTTCCAGAGCCCCCTTCCTGAAATAGAGCAACACCCTTTCTTGACCTTGACTACAGGTCTGTTTTAAACAATCTCTTTCCCGTTCCCCAGCTCGGAAAGAAGGGCAGGAGAGCTGTCAGCAGGAGAACTCTGCTTTGGAGAATTACAATTAAGACGTTTTCTGATCTTATTTGTCTCCCAAGTATGATTCATTCGGTTATAAGCGTGTTTAGCGATTGTCGAATGAAGGTCGTGAAGTAGATCCTCTTATTAGCGTGCGCACAGAGTTACATTAGTTCTGAACAAGGCAGGACTTTCCATTTAAAAATCCAAAACCAGTAACTCAGGGAGATATTTATTTATTTTTTTTAACTGAACTAGTTGGAAAAGGAAAAAAAAGAATCAACTAGAGGAGTGTGTGCACATACTAAGCAGCCCGAATAGGCTTCTACTAAACAGCAAACAAATATAGCAATAAAAAGCAGCATTACTTTGAGTTGTGTTTAGAAACTAGGGGAAATTGCCAACTCCAAGCCTTGACGGGAGCTGTCCACAGTTCTGAATGATATTAACTGTGGAAAACCCGTACTCCCGCCACACAAAGGCTTGGAGTGACTGTCTTCCCCTTCTCTGAGATATTTATTGTCTCAGAAATCAGTTGCCTCTGTTATTTATACATAGAGTGAATGGATTTTAGAAAGTGTATAATTTTAAGGTAATTATTTGCAAAAACACATAACAAAGTCGGAAGGAGAACTTAAAAAACCCAATGACATTTATAGTTCATTAGAGCTTTGAGAATTTGATTGAGAGAATGTTCATATTATAAGGACTTCCTAAATAATCAAACATGTTTCCTCCACTAGGAAGATACTCAGGGAAGCAAATTTATAAATGACCTGTTCTAAGATACATAAGATTGTAGTGTTCTTTAGAATTTTAAAGGTCAGAATTAAGTGTAAAATACTATCTCTTCCTCAATCACCAGTGGAAATATGTTACAACTCATATTACAATTTCAAATGAAAAATTATGTATAAACAGCCTTCAGTCTTAATAACAAAAATAAACGTGGTATATCCATATATATATGAGATTAAGTATTAAAAAATGCTTAACTTTGTTTATTTAAATTCACACTCAACTAAATGATTACATATAATATTTTTATTTCTTCAACAATGTGAAAAGGACTATACTTTTCAAAATGGTAGCATATATAAAATAAATAACCTTTTTCTGACTCACTAGATAAAAACACAGGGCCACCTTTCAGGAATTAGAATAGTGTGCCAAAACCTTTTGAATGAATGAAATTCATGAAATTAAAAGATTCTCCATATTTTCCCAAGGAAGTCTTCTGAGACAAAATATCTCTTTAAAAACAAACATTGTTACTTAACAAAGGAAGAAATTGAAATTAGACGATTATGCATTTCAAAGAAATGGGAAATGATTAAAAAGTGAGCTAATACTTTAAATAGACTTTAGTGTGGAGTAGTTTGGAATATTTGATTTTCACTTGTATAAATGGACAAAAGAAAATAGCAGACATAAACAATTGCTATTTAGATTTTTTAACAGTAAGGTATCTTAAAAATAGATTTTAATAGATTTTAAAACTCATAATTGTGATATACACTGATTTTCTAAAACAACAAACTATAGAAGTAATCATATACTTACTTGCAGTCAGAAATATTGACATCTTATTATTATTTCATTAATGTTTTTGAATGATCTCAAAACCAATGTAAGATTTTCCAAAAGCTATAGCGTATCAAGATAACATAATGAAAAAAGCAAAAATATGGACAAAATTCTGGCAATTCTACAAGAAAAGCAAGTGTGTGAGTAATCTTCAACAGATTCTAGAAATGTCTGTGGTCATGATCTGTTCATCTCAGGCCCTTTCCTGAAGGATACTTTAAGGGAAGTGCTTTGCTGTAATTCCTAAAATGCCAAACTTAAGTTCATTTGTTATTTAGCAACTGAACAAGTGACACTTAAGAATAATTTCCATGAAGAAGGGGAGATATTGGAAATGAAGATCCCAAGATTTTTTTCCTTGACACTTTCATATGCTTTTTATGACCATAGAAGTTGACTCTGTCGGCTCTTACTCCAGAGCATGTTGTGACTTTGGTTATTGTTCTAGTTTCCCTTCTCAGGATGATTTCTAAGGTTGGTTCCTTTCCACTTCCCTTAAGGGGCAGCACTGTCCTCCCACTGAGACTTCCAGAGAGCTAGCTAGCATCTCTCTCACCCTCCAGAGCCTGAGAGTGCTACTGCTATGTCTGGCAGGTAGTTTTCTCCTACATCCAGTGTAAGTAGGGCAGAGGCACTGTATTTCCCTTCTTTCTCAAGAGAGGATAGTGTTAGAAATCTTCAGGGAATAAAGAAGAGTTCAATATTATGGATACTATTAGAAATGACAGGGTGGAAGCTAGAGAATTTAGTAAAAAAAAAAGACTCATTTTTTGTTTATGCCATGGTATATAAGCACCCAAACTAGGGAAAATATGAATATTTACTATAAAAAGAATTTACACTGATGTTTGTGTAGTGAGGGCATGGTCTCAGTCTTATAGAATTTCATGTTAGCAACATATGCATACATTTAATTTGGAAGTTAAATATGAGTTTTTGAACTGAATAGTGATTGTATATTAACTAGATAAAATTTTACTTTCCATTCACTTAATACCAAATGCCACTGGCTAAGCATTGCACTTCTATAGCTAATTAGTAGTTATAATCATTCAAATTTGGATTGAAAGAATATTTGGAATACTTTTGTGGATTATTTTTATTATGCAAGTAATTTATCTTGGAAGAATTTATCACCAGGCTGTTTGCCATTTTAGGGATTCTGACATTATATTGTTGGATCATGCTTACACGAGGGCTCCTTTAAAAATAACGCTCCTATTCCATATGTATGTATTACCAGCCAATGTCTTGTTCCTGAAAAGGGAGGGGATTTTGTATCTTGACTTCTTATTTCTTCCGCTTCTTTTCATCATTAGTGGGAGTGTGTGAAAAGCTTATTGTATCATAAGTACCCAAGAACTCTAGAGACAGGAATCATTTCCTGAAGATATTGCCACTTCTGACCTTCCATGTCTGCCTCGGATTGCATCCACAACTGTGCTGATGTCAGAGATCACTGATGTGTTCATTAGGGAAGGGAGGCTTCATCCATATTATACAGTTTGTCATAAAGAGAACATTTGTCTCCAGGAGCTTCTCACAAGAAAACAATTCAACCTTCTGGGGTTTAAGGGCTAATTAGCCTACTGTTACGTTATCTTTGTGCAGAATGCACTCTGTATTCTCCCAGCAATGCTTCTTTATTTGCTTTCCATAACAACATAGCCAAAATTAACCATAAAAACTTATTTATTTTCTGCTATGTTAGGTGAACCGTCTCCTATCTTATAAATTCAATTAAGTTTCTCTTAGGGGGTCTAGCAACTGTTAGGCCCAATTAAAGTGAAATTATTTGAAAGATTTGGAAGTGTGAAATTATTCAGATACTTTTTTCATATACATGCAAGTTATAAATTTTATAACTTTAAATTTCAGCAGATGTTTCACTATTTAATTGAATTTAGTAGATATTATGGTGATATACTATTTCAAGATTACAAAACATGTTCCTTTCTTTTCTGAGAAACTTTCTTTAAAACTACTTTTGGGGGTCTTGATGTAAAAGGAGAATCAGTGGACAAATGCACTGTATCAATCATATTTAATTATGTGGACTTGTATTTATGAATTTGCCTGTTAAATAATTGGAAAGATATATTACTTATTTTTATCATAGGCTCATTTAACAAAATTGAATTCAACTATATCTGCTTTATCAAAACTTACAAACTGGCATCGTCACCAAAAAGCTATGTAAATAGTATTTATAATTCTGTGATATTTCACTCAATGAACCTGTGTCCTAGTGTGAGCATGAGACCAGCAAAATACATTTGATGTGATTTTCAGGGGAGCTTCTTGCCATTCTGAGGATAATTCTTGTGTTTAGCAAATAATTAATTTCTTGAAGACAAAAATTGGGCTTAAGATGCAGACTTTAAAATAGAGTCTTTTGTAAATACAGTACAAATTGTGGTAGATCGTTAGCACTATATGAAGAGTACTGGGAATTTTCAGGGTCTGTGATGAATTTTCATTTTATCATTTTGTATAAAGAAGCAGCAAACTATGAGCTAGTTTGACACTATTTTAGGAGCAGAGGTAGTGGTAATGAAGAGAAACATCAATAGGTGCTAGGAAAAAACTTTTTACTTAGACAAGTACTTTTCTTCTAAAAAT